CTTTCCTTTCCATGGGCCTCAAGTCTTGATCCCCAAGTAGCATATTCTCCCAGCCAGGTATAGATGTGGCCTGATTGCTTATAATCTCAACAGCAGCATACAGCACCAGCCCACAGTGATCCTGGCAATAGTTGTGCTTATTAAAAATCAGGAGAGGTGCACTAAAAATCAAGAGGTGAGTTTGTTTTATAGCAGGCACTCCTGTTTTCTTGGTCACAAGCAGCCAGAACAACTGAGAACAAAACCCAAGATACTTTCCCCCGGAGTTGCATTCCTTTCGTTCTAAAAAGACTATTCACCTTTTTGCAATTATGCTTTTGATCCGATTTCATTCAGTATATAACACGGATTGTATTACGCAGAAGTTTGATGAAAAAAAAAAGCAACCCAGTCATTTATTGAAATAAAACCCCTTATGTCACCACTGTTTGCAAAATACTCATTTGATAAAAGTGTTCAAAAGAAGCTAAAGATATCAACAGAACTCACAGATCCCGGCTCAGATTACACCACTGCAAATAATCTAAATTCATATGCATTATCACTTAAGTGAGCATTACGGCTGTTACCAAACCCTACACAAATATTCAGATTTTTGTTTTTCCTGTCATGCTGAAGGTTATCTCCCCAGTTTCTCTGAAAATTCAGGTGACAACCATTTCCCATGATGCTTTAAGGGCTGTCAAGCTGTCCATCAAACTGTCACCTGACCAATCGTTCCCATGGTTCTTTTAGACTTCTAGTATGATAAATTGAAAGGCACTATTATCTGCCTGTTGTGAAGAGGAACTGCTTAGGCTTTGATAAGATATCACTAGTCCCAGGTGAGAGGATGCTGACAGCACATCAAGACAAGAAAACACATGGAAACAGTGAACATAGGAGCACAAGGTTTACAAACATCTGTTGTCATTATTTATTACCCCTTTCCTTGGTTTTAGTGCGATACTTGTTCTATGTCAGTTCAAAAAGAGACACTTTCCCTTCTAGGCAGCAAATCTTAGCTGCTGCTATTTTTAAATCAGTTAAAATGAGAAGTATTTTAAATATGAAAGATATCTTTAATAGAAGGTTGTGTTACCTACCTTTTTTTGATACAGGCGTTTTCCACCACTCTATTTGTAGTTTTCTATGCTTCTTCGCAAAGTGCAATTATGCCAGAAGAAATTGAGAAGCCCTGAAAGATATGAAGATTTTTTTTTTTAAGCTCAACACTTATTTTTCATTGATATCTGTATGCACTAGGAAGACCTTCAATTCACAGATTTTCTTGCTGATAACTCTGATCTCAGGCTTTTGATGAATGCCCAAAGTTAGCTTAGGAGATCTCAGAGAGAAAACAATATGTTGTTATTTATTGTGGGTTGTTAAGAATAATAAAAAAAAAAAACAACAGAAGTTGGTTGCTAACATCACCACCTTGTGTACAAATATTTTTTTGCATGCAGTTTGGTAATGTTATTAAGCAGCACTATAATTTCATTAGACAGCAATACAGCACCTCGATTACAGAGAAGAACATTTAAATAATTTTGTAATTCAAAATCTGCTTAATTTTTAGCCTTTTGTGTTTGTTTAACCATATTGTTACACTCCCCTGCACTGTGATTAAAAGCAAGCTGCCATGCACAGTGAACAACTCCTATTCACTAGGATAAACACTGAAGAATCAATGGCACAGTAGTTCAACAGAGTAATAAAAAATAGTTTCTAAAGTACTAATAAGGGTAAGATTCATAATTACAGCATGTACAGCCAATTTCTAAAGCCTCTTTTCCACTCAGTGACTCTTTTGAGAAATCAGCTTGCTACATTTAGGGGGACTTTCCCCCCAAAATGTTCCAATTTGCTCGTATTTAAAATGTAAAATCAGCATTCATCCCCGCCTACAGAACAGCCCTAATCAGCAAGTATATCAAGGTTCTCCATTTGTCAGCCAGGTGAAAAGGTACCATGGTGAGGCATAGAAATGCTAAATAGTGAACTCTGTAATGTCAAGTGCATTTAGACAGGACAGTTTCCTCCATCCCTTTTCAAGCAGGCAAGTAGATTTAGTCTCAGGCAAAGATTGCAGCTGGAGTGGAAAGACAAGAGTGAAATAACAAATCAGGTTCCCACATGCCAAACAAACAATTAGAAAAAACGACAAGGGGATCTTAGTCTTGCTGTGCAAAAACACTATTATCTTTGCTGTGGTTCTGGCAGAACAAGCAATGCTACGTTCTAGGCAACTCTCAGTGTGAAAAAGCACAGTCCCTCCCTCGCAGAGCTCACCACGGAAAGATAAGAAACCAGTATGGAGGAGTGCAACATACAGAGCGAGAGC